TTATTTTAATATAAAAATAAAAATTATTTCTTATTAAAATCATAAATTTTTATATAAAGAGAAAATTTCAATTTTCATTATATTTTATTAGTAAATTTAGCCTCTGAGTCATTACTTTTGATTGTCACTGTATAATTATTATATTTTTTAATAACTAATAAAATAAAAATTCTAAATTTCTGACACTAACCAATCTTATTTTCTGAGATTATTTCTAAAATAAATTATTTTAATTAGATTTCTTCTTATAAAATTAAAAGATCAATTTTATAATAAATATAATAAAAATTAAAATTTTCTCTTTATTCTAAAGTTTATAATTTTATAAAGAAATAATTTTTATTTTTATATTAAAATAAAGTTTATAAATTATAATTTATTTTATATTTTTTTTCAGATTTTTCTAAGAGTTATTCTAATTATTAAAGTTAATACAAAATTTTTTCTAATTAAAAATGAAATTTAATTAGTAAAAATTTTTGTAATTAAAAATAATTCTTTTAAAAAACTATCTAAAAAAATATATATTAAACTATAATTTATAAACTTTATTTTAATATAAAAATAAAAAATCATCTCTTAATAAAATTATAAACTTTAATATGAAGAAAATTAAATTTTTATTATGTTTTATTAACAAAATTAATTCTTTGATTTCATAATTATAAGAGTTACTACATATTAATTATTATTATTAATTAATTAATATATTAAAATTAAAGAATTAATATTTATTTTTTCTGATATATTATAATATAATTTATTAGATATTTTGATTTAATTATTCTATACTTTTTAAATTAAAAGCAAAAGTTAAATAAATTTTGTACTTATTATTTCTTGACACAAATATATAACATAAAATCTTTAATAAAGTAATAATAATAAAAAGTCAAATCAATAAATTTACATAATTAAATTAATAATTACTTATTATGCAAGAAACTTTGAGTTTTTCAGTTATTAAATTTAATAACAATCATTTTTATTCATGTGGATTAAACAAATTCGATATTTTATTAAAATAATACAATCTACAAAAAGCAATATATTTATTGGCTAGCGATATTCTCAGATCCCAGATTTACTTAACACTCATAATAGTTAGATAAAAGGTATATAAAAAAGTTCATTTAAAAAAATTTACTCTAATTTTTTAATTAATTATCACAATATTACGATTATTATTTGATTCTACTTCTATTATTAATAGCCTTGAGCAGCGTACTGTTGAGGTTGCTGCTGTTGCTGAACTATCGAAGCATTATTATATCCAGGAGCGACGTTTTGCTGTGGTACCTGATGAGTTGCTGTTGTTGGTTGAACATTGTAATAATTTGGAGTCATGGTTTGTTGTTTTGTATCCTCCTGTGATGGTGGTGGTGGTGGTTGTTGTTGTTGTTGTTGATAATCATAATTAAATTGTTGTAGACTGCCAAGAGGAGGTTGTTGCGGCTGTTGTGGGTGTAATGGTAACGAAGATTGAGGTTGAGGTTGAGGTTGATGAGATGGATAGGATAATTGTTGTTGTTGTTGTGGTAATAAGGGTAGTGATGCTTGACGAATATTATTTGTTTGTAATTGTTGATATGTTTGTTGTGGTGTTTGAGGTTGTTGTGTCTGCTGCTGCTGTTGATCAATTTGTTGATATTGTTGTGGCTGTTGATCGATTTGCTGATACTGTGGTTGTGACTGTTGATTTTGTGATTGTTGATATTGTGACTGTTGTTGTTCATTTGGATAACCATTAGACATTGGAGGAAATGCGCCCCCAAATTTATTTGGCTGCTGTTGCTGTATATTATTATCAGGATTAATACCGTTAGCTGTTGTTGATGACGAAAGCGACGGTGTTTGCTGTATAAATGTTTGAGGCTCTGTTGAGTATTGTTGCTGACTTTGCGGTGGTTGTTGATTTGTCTGGGTGAATTGAGCTTGTTGATATGGTTGTTGCTGTTGTTGATGCTGTTGTGACGGTGGTTGCTGCGACATTCCATCTTGATTAGCGAATTGTGGCTGTTGTTGCTGATATCCAGCATTAGATGGCGGTTGTTGTGGCGCATAACCAACTGGCGGTGGTTGTTGCTGTTGATAGGCATATTGTTGCTGTTGCTGTAACGCAGCTGGATCAGGATTTGAATATTGAGGCTGTTGAGGTTGTTGCGGCGGCGGCGGCTGCTGCTGCTGCTGCTGCAAAAATGGATTATTGTTTTGAGATGGAGGTGGTGTTACATATTGTTGCTGTGGTGTTTGAGGAACATAAATATTTGATGGTTGTTGAGGTGGTGGAATACTATAATGTGTGTAGTTTGTTTGAATGGAGGTTTGTGGTGGTGGTTGTTGTGGAGGAAAAGCAACAGCGGCTACAGCGGCAGCAGTAGCAGCAGCGTGATGAGCAGCATATGGATCCATTGCGACGCCATATGTAGGACCGGTTATCGTTTGATCTTTTAATAGATATTTACGCAAGTTTTAAATGAACGAAATGGTCAAAATCAAAAAAAACCAAAATTTGATGTAAAGCTTACAAGGACCACCAACGGTAGCATTCGGTTTGTATCTATTAATCGATTCCTCAAGTAGTCGATCGTATGTAGTTCTTGCCGTGTTGAATTTATCATTTAGTGCGATAAGTTCATCTGGTAAAGTTCATAAAAGATAAATGAAGTGCGCAACGTTTTAATCTGTCCTGTTCTTCCTGAGACGAAGATTTTAAATTAGTTACCTTTCTTTTGACTATATTTTTCAATAAGTTGTACCAGTTTCGGTCTAACTGCTAATGTTGAGTGGTACAAATTCTAATACGTCAAAAATCACATGTTATTATTCAAAAATCGAAAAAAATTAATTGGTATATAAAAAATTAATAGACAAGCTACCTGGATAGCTTCATTTTCTGAGAAACTATCTTTGGTTGGATCAATAGTCGACAACAGCTCGAGCAATCGTTCGACATTACGTGCTTCCGCAAATACAGAGGCTTCTATTTCTGCTTCACGTGCTAAATCTGCAGGACTTGGTTCAGTGATTTTTTCCTGTTTATAATGATTATTAGTTTCATCATCATTCGTCAAAGATATTTATCATTCGCCAAAAAATAATGATAATCAAAAAAAAGAAATACCAACCACATAATTAACCGGAAAAATTCCTGTCTTGCCATTCAACTCGCCACGCCACCAATCTTTATACACGGTCTCCAGCACTGTGATCACGTCTCCACGGGAAAATCCTAGTTCGCCTGGTTCGGTGGGAGTGAAGTCATACAATGAGCGCACTTTTGATGCTGGTGGTGGTTGTTTTGGTGTAGCGTCCTTGTAAAAAAGGAAGTATTTTCAAGTTTTAATCACATCAATGCAATATTTTCTACTTCGAGTAATAATAAACAAATTAAAATTGTGTTAATAATTTATTAACTTACTTGTTTGACAACTGCTTTTTGCGAAGGTGGACTCTATAATATATAAATAAATAGATTATACCGTGGTATTTAATTAAAATCGAGTTGAAATAAAAAAAAGTAAATATATAATTTGATGAGGATAAACTAATATAAATCACCCGCTGAACGATTCTCTCTTTCGGGGTCACTGTCTGTGACAATGACATCGCAATTGCCAATTGAAAATCATCCTCTTCTTTTTGTTTGTCTAATTCTGACTGTTTTAAGAAATGACAATGCAAAGTAGCAAAGATTTTAGCCAGAGAGTAAATAATAAATGAATCCTATGATAAGATTTTATAGAATAGATAGCTAAGATCAAACCTGAGTTGGTTCTTTTTTTGGCTTATCGGGTGGCAGGAATGGGACACCTACATCAAAAATGACACGGGCACGGATGGAATTCGCAAGTTAATTAAGGAATAGATACGAAATTAGCAAAAAAAAAATTCATATAATTTTCTTTACCCTGTGCTCGCAACTGATTAAATGTCTCTTCCATGAGACTCAATGATGAGTTTGATCGGAACTCAAATGTCCAATCTTGAATTAATTCTGTTATCCTGTTTTTGACGGTTTCATGTGTGTTCTTTTTTGTTTTTGGTTCAGCTGATTAAAATCTTTTTCAAAATACATATTATCGTCATCAAAATTTCTAAATTAATTACCTTGTCTGTGACCATACGCGCTAAGATTGAGGTAAACGTGCGACTACAAATCTCGCGATGAAGCGGCAGTCCACAACTTCTGACAAGCGAGTTTGACAGCTATTCACAAAATAATTGAAAAATTGACACATGATCCATTTTAGGGATAAGTATGCCTCCATTGATATATAAGAAGATTAAATATTAATCACGAAAGATCCCCCCAACACACAATCACACAAACATACCGTCAAAGAATACAGTTGCACATTAGCAGCTCGATGAGCTAAACGTTTTTGTATGGCTTCAATGCATTCTCTTGCACTTTTGTTAAAAAACAAGAATATTAAAAATCAAATAAAATTGCATTTTGTATTATCAATTAAATGAAGATGATAATGACAATGAACCTTTTTTCCCCACCAGCCTCGACTTTTTCACATATATTTGTAATTAACTCCCAATTTTCAGAGGTGAGCGTCTCATCGGTCGCTTTTGCTTTTTATTAAAAGGTCATAAAGAAAAAAGTGACACAGTAAATAAATAAATCCAATATTAACAAGACAATATATGATGTCACTTTTGTCGCAGCATTGAATGCAGCAATATTATTTGAACGTACCAACAACCTCTTCAAAACTATTTGTTGACCGAAACATTTTCGCCAAAAATGTATGATTTATTTATTACATATAATAACTACAGACAAAACCAACAGAAGACTATTTTCTTGAATCAATACTTTATGTCTACAGAACAAAAAAGGTAGTTTGTTAAAAGTCTATCTTTTATTCTGGCCAGAATTTTGCTAATTTCAAACAATCACCAGAAAGGCATTTATATTATTATTTCGGCGTAATAGGAACTCGTGACTATTACTAAAAAAAGGGGAGGGTCCTTGAAATGTTAATGATTCGGACCGGACCGATTTTTGACAGGATTTTTTTAGTTGTCTAAAGCCTTGTTCATCATGTGATCAATCCTCTTAGATTTTTCAAAGCATCCCGATGAGCTAGAGGAAATATGGTTATACCCGACAATCACGTGATCAATAAATCGGAAGAAATACCAAACCGATAACATTATAAGTTAACCTATTATCGGTTTGGTTTTTTTTAAAATCTATATTTTCTTCGAAATTGAAATAATCACTGAATATTTAATTGCATTTGATTGGTCAGAATTAACGTTACAGCCAAGGAACAGTCCAAAAATGTTGTACAAATATCTACTAATAAATTACTAATAAATTTTTATCCAAACTATCCAAAATTGGCCAAGGGCCAACCCTGGATCGGACGTAATGGAAATTCAGAATCAAATTAAAAAATGCATTTACTTTCAATTATAAATTTCGGCACTGGGTCGGAAAGATCACCTGATTCAGCACTGCTTTCTAAGCACTGTCCCATTTTTTTGTTCAGTCTGAGAAATGTTTGCTATAGCTTATGCCTTTTGGACAGATATATTAATTGATCTAATATATGGAAATTCATTAGTCACAATAATCAAAGCAATTAAACCAAAATTTTCAAATAAACCTTTATTAATTAACCAAATATGAAATTTAATTAACAGTATTGTCAACTGGACTGTTCCAGTGGAAATTCTTACGGACAGTGCTGAATCAGGTGATCTTTCCGGGCCAGTGAACAAAATAATGCATTTTTTAAGGGGTCAAAAATAGCTTAAATTTTGTCAATGAAACTACCCATCAAAAAAGCGTTACGGTTTTTTAATGAATCAAATTTCAAAATTTCCTAATTGGATCCTGAGTCATGTGATCAATCCCCTAATCGTTTTAATGATTTATAAGGTCGGGATAAGGGTAAATGTTAGGGTTAGAGGGACAAGATTATACGTAAAATTGCCATCCCGACATTTTTTATTAGTACTCCAAGCCAGATTTAAGCATTGTAATAATTCTTTTCATATCTTGCGTCGGATTTGTTTTGCCGGGTTGATCAAAAATTTGCGCATCCCTATTGGGTATTTACCATGTATCTCTTTGATTCAAATTTGATTTGCCGGGTCAATCAAAGCACCAGTACATTCTTGATCCGGCACTGGCTCGGAAGGATCACCTGATTCAGCGCTGTCCGCCTTTAAGCACGTGATTATCGATAAAATTATTCACGCGACTAATTTTATGAATCGTGACATTAAAGGAATAACTTTACTTGGAATGTGATCTTTTAATTAGTTACAATATCCGGATTGGTCTCAACTCTTTATTCTCTTCAAATGGAGATCGCATGTTGCATAATTTCCTTCCTTAAATAACGTAATAATAAATTAATCAATTTCAGGAGAATAATATTTGGGACTGCATGTTTAATAAATCCAAACATGTGTCACCAAATAAACATTATTATATAATAAAATTAACCATTTTTATTATAATTTATTTCGAGAAAAATTATATATAAAGGATTAAAACAGAGCTAGCCATAATCTTGTTATCGCATCACTAAGCATAATGCTCCTCTTCGTCAGATGACTGATTTCCATAAGTATAGAAATCACGTTCGGAATCGTAATCTATTCATAATGAAAAAATTGTTGGCCAAAAAATGGTATGTATAAAAACATTATTTTTTCTTAGGTAAATGAAAGAGCTTACCACTATCCTCTTCCCATTTCTCGTCGTCCTCCTCTTCATCAGGGTAATCATGAGTATAGTAATTTTCAGCTACATAGAAAACGAAAATTAGTTTTTCAAAAAATCAAATATCCAAATGAGCTACAGAAATCTCATTTATTAATCACCATTTGAGTCTTCATCATCCGTTTCGATTACATCCACTTCATCCAACAAATATTCATTATCATCGTCTTCAATCCAAACCCTTAATATTACATTGGAAAAAAACCGAATTCCATATACATTATTAGTTATATCAAATGACAATTACTATTACAAGATTTCATGAACTAAATTCAAATTAAAAAATTTGTTATTTACAACGAAGCAACATTACGATAGTGATCTTCCAATTCCTTAAAAAAATTGTCGTCACGATAGAATACATCATAGACGTATTCATCATCGTCATCATGCTCTTTTATATTCAAGTCTAAACAAAAAAAAACACGCGAATTTATATCTATGTAAATTCAAGATTTAGATTTGGATAAAGAGACTTACGTGACATGTAATCCATAACCATAGGCAGGAACTTCTCCATTACACCATCACGATGTGTAGGTCTATTAATATATATGTATTTATGTATGCATATATATATATATATATATTAAAATAGTAATATAGTAATATAGTGTCGTAGTAAATAAAGTTTGAGCGACTATCCATCTCCAGATAAGTTAGCAGATAATCATCGACTAACTTTGATGATATTGTCAATTTCTCATCGTTGTGATCAACTTGTTTTACGGCATCAAATACTTTAAGTGATTCGGTAATTCCATTCATGATCATATTATTATCGTCGTCGTTGTTCTCTCGATTTATGAGTATATCACTATTACTAAAATCAAAAAATAGGGATTAAGAAAAAAAAAAAAGAAAATAAAGAAATGGAAAAATACCCAAAAAAAAAAGAATAAATACTTTTTATATCTTCTATTCTGAATTATTTGATACCGTGCTGTATGCTTATCTTCCTTGAATTGGTCTCTTTTCTTTCCATGATGGTCTTTGAACCGTTTTTTTAAATCTTCATCTTTTTGGTTTTTTCGTAGTCTGTTCCTAATACGCTCCTGGGATTTGCGTAAAATTGAAAGATAAATAATCAAGAAAGGAATGGCACACACCGAAAGTAGTTTATGCACCTCAAGTTGAAGAGTCTTTGCTGAATGTTCAAATGTCATTTCATCCACTGTTTCCGCGAATCGGAAGTAAGTGGTTGGTGCATCAACAGTAGTATGAGCTAGAGATTTGAAAATATAAATTAATTATAAATCCAAAACCTTGTTCAATTTTACGAACTATATTTCGATTCTCTATGATCTGTATTACTTTTCTCAGTAACATGGCTTTCTTCCTTTTTAGCTTTCTTATTATGCAAGTTTCCATTTAACATTTTTTGCACAACTATAAAATAAGAAAATTGAGTAAAAAGTTAAAGTGTGTTCTTTCTTTTTATCGACTATGAGAAGAAGAAAATTCAAATACCAAACGCATCCAAAGGCTCTTCGTTTCGCTTTCGTTTCACACGAACAATAATAAGTTCCTTTGAAGACGAGTTAATCGGAAGAATAGTATTAGAGATTTGCGTTTCATCATTAAGGTTGTTTGTGGTGGTACTATAATTTGTAAATATAGTATTATCCTTTGCAATAGGTGGTTGCTCAACCCGTTCGGGTAAAGAAGAGAAAGTTGTTGCAATGCTTGTCTCCGCTTGAGCCACCTCTTTATCTGTAGTAACTGAGGAAGTGGTTTCTTCCAAGATTGTAGTAACTAAAACGGCACTTTTTTCTTGATTTGGCGAGGCTGAGTTAATAAGCTCGGGTTCATTTTGAGAAGGCGAATTTGGTAAATTTGGAGGAATGTCAAAAGTGTTTTCAAGAGTGGCGATTTCTGAAAGAGTGATGCAAATCGCCGCCGAATCTGTAGACTTGTTTATTCGTGGTGAGGTCTCCTTAGGAATCTGTGATTTAACCTTTGGTTCCATAATAGCAACACGTAAAAGATAATTTTTTTGTACTCTGCATACAGGTTGGTGTTGATCATCAAATTCAATTAAATTAAAAAAAAACGTGACTTTTTTTCTTTTTGTGCGCATAAACGTCATGCAGCTGCAGTGAACTAAAATTTAAGCTCGATTGTCCAACACGGAGCTTTATTCGTTGGGTGGTTCTTTCAGGTATCATATCTACCTATTATCCAATCCTTTCTTACCTCCCGAAAACTGATACACTGTCCTCACACCTACGCACGCACGAACATATACACACACAAATATATAATATACACTTTCGTCTCAACAGCTTTCAAGGTGGCGCCTTCACTCACTCTGACGCGTATTAACAGACACGAAAATGCGGCGAGACGTACGAATTCTAGTTGCTGGAGACGGTGAGACCGAGATTTTTTTGTTTGGCTTTATTACTTATACGTGGCTAACAAAACCTACTCGACCTACACAGACGGTGTTGGAAAAAGTACCTTGATAACATCTCTCATTAAAGAACAATATGTTCCAAACGTAAGATTTCCGATGGTGGAGGGTTGTTGTGTGGTTTTTGTAACTTTGACGGTATGCGCTACGCGTGTTGATTGTCACTTATTCTTATTCTATCTATACATGTATAGATACAACACATAGTCCCTGAAGTGACAATACCACCAAATATTACTCCTGAAAACGTTACAACACATATCGTAGATTCTTCAGGTATTTCACTTGTATTATTGGTATTGCCACCATTTTTAAATTTTCGAATTCGTATATTAATCATATCCTATATTAGCTCGAGCTGAGAATCGAGAACATTTAGAAATGGAAATTAGGAAGGCACATGTCATTTGTATTGTATATTCCATAGATGACCCACATACTTTTAATCGCCTCGCATCATATTGGTTACCTTACATTAGAGGCCTTGGAGTGAATGTAAGTTTAATAAGACCACGCAATATCAATCTTTTTATATTTGTCCATTCAAGCAATTTATGTACATGTGATATTTCTCTCTAGGTTCCTGTTGTGTTGGTTGGCAATAAGATAGATCTTCGCGGTGATCAAGTAGCAAATCAATCATTGGAGGACGAAATAATACCAATAATGAATGAATTCAAGGTCAATCAAAGTTTTTTAATATCGTGAGCCGTATTAGTTTAGTTCATCATTCAGAGCCTTAATTGGAAACTGAATTCCCTCAATAACCTGTCTAAAGCTCCCTCCCTCCTCCTTACTACAATAAAATCATCATTATCGTGCCTTGAACCTTCGCAGGAAGTAGAAACTTGCGTGGAGTGCTCGGCAAAACAACCGCTTAATGTTTCGGAGGTATTTTATTTTGCACAGAAAGCCGTTCTGCATCCTACTGCTCCATTATATGATTCTCGGGAACACGTATGTAATTATTGAATTTGGCTGTTGGAAAGCATGTGTTTATAGTGAAAAATATATTTTCTAATGTATTTACTTTTGGAAAAAAACAGGTCTTGAAACCAGCGTGTAAAAATGCACTTAAGCGAATTTTTAGTCTGTGTGATGCTGATAAAGACGGGGTATTGAACGATGATGAGTTGAATGACTTTCAGGTAATTTGTTTAAAACATTATGGCTTTATTTACGAAAAATCTAACAAAACTTTCTACTTTAGCGAAAGTGTTTTAACGCGCCTTTACAACAACAAGAACTCGAGGGTGTTAAAGATGTTGTAAAAGATAATGAGCCAGCTGGTGTTAATGATATTGGATTGACGGAGCTTGGCTTTTTATTCCTTCATAAACTTTTCATACAAAGAGGTCGCCTTGAAACAACATGGACGGTCCTTCGACAGTTTGGCTACGGCGACGATCTTTCTCTGCGAGAGGATTTTTTATATCCAGAGTAAATATAAGATTTATCGCATGTTTATTCCTTGTTAATTTACTTACTTGCTTCGTAATTATTCGTAATAAGAATCGACATACCATATGATTGTTCGGTAGAATTAAGTCCTTATGGGTACCAATTTTTTGCTGATATATTTCAGGCATTTGATAAGGTACGTGTTTCACATTTAATATTTATAATTGACTCTAAACCCTTGATGTAATAAGAAAATCACGTGATTCATAATCATAATTTCACTTTGTAATTAAGCTTGTGCTTTAGCTAGTTTTGTTCCATTGGTTTTTATCATATATTAATTTTTGTTATTAAAAATTGTTATGATGTTAGGATAAAGATGGGGCATTAAAAGATGACGAACTAGAACAACTTTTTAGCACAGCTCCTCAAGGATCTCCATGGACAAACTCTGAATTCCCGCAGACTACAATCACAAATGAGGCTGGGGCTGTTACCTTGCAAGGATGGTTGGCTCAATGGAGGTAAGAAGGATTCGACTATACATCAACCCCACGCTACAACTTAACACCATGTTTCAATCATCTTTTGGTCAATTCTTATTTATTATTAATCTTCTATTATATCGTATTTTGTTATTTATACATAGTATGACCACTTTACTTGATTATAAAACTACATTAGCCTATCTCGCTTTCCTTGGATTTGAAGGTGACACAAGAAGTGCTTTGAAGGTGACAAGACCAAAAAAACTTGAAAGGAAACGGAATAAAGTGCAGCGTAATGTCTTTCTTGTCTATGTGTTTGGCGCAGCAGGCTCGGGTAAGGTAAGATGTTTTTTATGAATTAAAACATCATTAAAGAATTCTATTAATATCATAATATATTAATGAGCAATATATGCTAATGTACTAATTTATAATAATCAGACCACATTACTGAAAACGTTTCTAAACAAACCATTCACGGAAGGATATTCGCCAACAACGAGAACTTTTAGTGTGGTCAATTCTGTGGAAATCAAAGGAGCCGAAAAGTACTTAGTAGTGAGTATCATTTTTTATTATCATTATTCTTTTCCTTAGTGTGTATATATATATATTTATTTTATTTTTATTCATTATTTCTATTATAAATTGACCAATAATAAAGTACATTTTAATCATGTTTTTTTGGGATTTTTTTTATAACATAGCTTCAAGAATTCGGCTCAAAGTATGAAAACGAAATTCTTCAAAATAAACGCAAAATGGAAGCATGTGACTTGTTATGTTTTGTATATGATTCTAGTGATGTTAATTCTTTTTCATATATTGTGGAACTGCGGGTTAGTATTACTCAATGATACACATTCGCTTTTTTTAATACTACATCAATAATGTTAATAATTCATTATTATTTTGTTTGGTGGTATATATTTAGCGAAGGCATTTGATATTAGAAAATATGCCGACGGTTTTTGTTGCAACCAAAAGCGATTGTGACCTCGTCCAACAGGTATAAGATCTAGATAGTTCAATCAATCTCGAAACCAAAATTTATATTTTTATTAAGCAAATAACGTAACAATTCATCTTTCCTTCCCAAAAACAGCGACACGAAGTCCAACCAGACGTCTACTGTCGCACGCTCGGTCTCTCAGTCCCTATAAGCGTGTCGGTACGTCTCCAACAGATCGCCGACCTATGGATTTTGATGACCGGATACGCAATGAGCCCCGCGACAGCGACGCCAGGCGGAATAGTGGACGCTACACATGGAACGTCGCGCGTGAAACGGTATTTAACATTCACAGCTTTGACTGGGATGATTCTTGGCGCGGCCTTTTTGGGGTTCCGTCTCTTTCAACAGCATAGGCGGGTGCTGAATGTTAATGTGAATCCGAGTGTGATGAATACGTAATAATGATGATATTTTAATATCGATGACATTTATTTTAATGATCATAAGCGTAACATAACAACCCTCTTTCAATAAATTTAATTCATAATGACGATAATGATGATAATAATCACAAAGATCGTCACAAAGTGTAAATTTTATAGACTACTAAATTTCTAATTTTAATAATTTTTGCATTGTGAGAATTATTTGAGGAATGATATAATGTCTGATGTGGCCATAATATCCATATATAGCAGTAGAAAAAATCGCAATTTACCCTAATCCAAATTTTTTTGTTTAATAATTTAATAATTTCAAATACATATTTACCATATATACTTTAACTTAAATAGCGACAAAATTTTTAAATATATTAATATAATGTAAATTTTGAGCTTTCTAGTTTACAATTTTATTAGATCAAAAATTTGTGATGGGATTTTGATTTTACTCTGAATTTCACAATTTCGAGTCAGCCATTATGTTAAAGCCAATAGAATAAATATGAACAATGTTGAATCAAAATCGACACGTAAAACAGATATTCTTTAGGATTACTCGATAACCAAAAAATGCACCCAATACGCACATTAGCCACCAAAACGACAAATGACGACCTACTCAAACTACAAGACGAGTTTCTTAATACTCAGCCTAAACCCGCTGCTACTTTAATAAAGAAAAGGCAGGATCAAACAAGTAGTCCTGGTGAGTCCATTACGACTAATCAGCCCAACAATGCCCCAACAGAGCAGCATGTACCCGCCATAAAAAAGGTACTGGACATGCACTCTTACAAAACCAATACGGTTAATCTGGTCATAGAGAAGGAAACAACAGGGGAACCTGTGATACCGCCTTCTCTTCCTAAAAATCTCTCTTTTAACAACAGTAATACAAGTGGATTTCCTCAACCTGTTCATAGATCACAGTTTTTTTCGCGTTTAAGGAAAGATGTGGATCAACAAGAAAAAAAAAGTAGTAGTAGGGAATTAGGGAAGGAACCTGGCAACAAATCTCGATTGATGGACATCGATGTTGATAAAGAGAAAGACGAAGAATTACCATATGACGAAATTCATAAAGAGAATCTTGCAAGATTGGCTACTATGTCTGAAAGCGAGATTTTGGAAGCACAGGCGTATTTACGACAGTCCTTAGAACCTGCATTCATACAAAAACTGGTATCAAAATCATCATCTTCAAGGGAGAAACATAAAAACAACGATGATGATAATAGCAATATAAATTCTGAAAAATCTGATAATGAAACACGCGTGCATTTTTCTGATTTTTCTGAAAAAAGTACATCACAACAACCACCATCTATTAAAGATATTGGTATCATGAATATAAATAAAGAAGAAAATAAAGATGCCGACGATTCGCATCCATTAGTCATGAAAAAGAAATATTTTCCAGATATATCAGCTGAGCCAGAAAAGCTCGAATGGATGGGCATTGTATCAACTGAAAATAAGGCACAGCAGCAAAAATCGCAATCTTTATCCGATATTCAAAGCAACGTCTTTCGTCCATATATCGCCGGTCCCAATGACCCACTGGCCGCGTCTCTAAGATTCGACTTCAACGGCAACGTCCTTGATAAGAATGCCGACATTGCAGTTCACAAAGGGCTTCATCATCACGGTGATAGTCCAGAGCAAGCAGGGTACACGCTTTCGGAACTACTGTGTCTGATGCGTAGTAACGTAAAAAGCCAACGAATTATCCCTTTGAATATTGTCGCTCGTATATTTAGGAAAATACGAAGCGGTAGATATGAAAATGACGACTTAGGGAAAGGAATAGCAGCGTGGGCAATAAAACTGAATACTCCTATATATTTACGGAGTGCACTTGATGGTACGCATGAGTCGGCTAATGTCGCTGCAATTGATGCGCTCGCATCTTGGATTATTGGCAATAAATTAGAATTTGAAAAGGAAGAAGAAATATATGATAGTGTATTGGGATTGTATCGTGGATATGAAAGCATTTGTGTACATATGTCAAAGAAACCAAAGTCAAAAAAACGATTTGGCATGAAGATTCTTGTTGAAAAGGAAGACGAGGACGAAAGTGAAGAAGATGGTGAAAACGCTACGATTGAACAACATGCACGCATCGCTGCAAAAGATCTTGTAGCTGGATTCCTGTCAATGGATATATTGTATCGATTTCGATATATGCTTGAAATTGGAAGTTTACCACCCGCCTCTGTCGAGCAAATTTTATCAATCTTAGTGAAATTTGCACGTCACTCTGCAAGGAGTGCCGCCAAAATTGTAGAGTGCCCACAATTATATGACATTATCCACCAAAAATTTATTAGTTTGCCTTGGCCACCAGTTGTGGCCCATCCTGAGTCAAATATTACCTCGGATGTATCGACGAAAACCATTAGTAATCTCCAACAATCAAATTATCCATCACTTACTGCTGTTAAATTGTTACGTATACTCTGCCAATCATCAAAACAAACATGTCAAGAATTCATCAAAAAGCAATACATTGAAACATTATCACGGTATGTTGTGATTCGACCTTCTTCGATGTCGAATAAATTCTATAAAGAGTTGGGATACGATCTTTTCCTGGAGATATTAACAATATACCAAGTGATTGCGGGTTATGGACTGTATTATGAGATACTCTTGCAAGACTATGTTTTATTCGAGTATTTGATGCAAATGTCATATGAGATAAAGATGCCTTGGGAATGGAATATCATACACTATCCGGATGATGACCAAGGAAGGCGAAATGATAGTATCGATATGAGGAAAAAACTTGAATTGATCATTCGGTTTTTCAGGTTATTAGAAACATGGACGCGATCTTTAGCTACTTTACAAAAAGGCACTTCCAATACAGAGGTCACTTCATGTACTACAGCTAAACAGAACTCGTTTGAAGTAAGACCCAGTGAATTTATTCAAGACTCCCTAGAATTGCTACACAAGTGGAAAGACGAGTTTTCAAAAATTGCGTCATCAGAACACATGATTGACGAAAATTCCGAAAAATACCTCGAATATGAAAAAGCTATCGTGTTAATATCATCTGCTTCTGCTTACATTTCCAGTTGGTGTGAATATTTGAGCGTGTATCCTGTCAAAGATATCACTGAAATTGTACAAATTTGGAAACGGTTAAATTTATCAAACTGGCATAACTCGACACTGTATGAATTTTTACAGGAACGAGTGCAATCATTCTTTAATATAAATGACAACAAGCAAAGCAGCGTGATAGTAGACAATGATGGTTGGCAGTTGCCAAATTTACCTGGTGCATATCATCCAAGAACTCGCAAGCTTCTTTCTGCGAAAATAAGGATTTCTGTGATTTATGATTGCTTATTATCGCATGTTCTGTTAATACATAGTATCACGCGTCTGTCGAGGCTTAATAGCTCAAATAATAGTAACATCAATAATGATCAGAGCATTATCCAGGAATCTTTACACGTGATTGGTGAGGTATATCAGGTGGTAGGAATTTTACATGAAAACAAAGTTAAGTCAAAATTGATAAAACAAAGAAGGAAATGGCTTGATTTCTTTGATCGATGGAGTGTTTACTTGGAACACGAATGGCTACATGTTATGCTGTCCTATAATAATAATAATAATAATAATAATAATAATAATAATAATATTAGACATGATAATAGTTTTTTGTTATCTGATGATGCTACATGGACTAAATCAAAAAGGATCTTAATTACAGCTTTGTTCTTGGTTCAACAGTATATGCCAGGCGACGAGAATATGGCATTGGAAACACTAGATATTCTTTTGGATATGCTGTTAAACAATTCTTATAACTTGTTATCATCAGCAACATCAATAGTCAAAACCGATGAAATAAAGACAAGTTTATGGACATTCTACCAGAGAAGAATTATTTCTGTGAATATTGCACGAGATTTGTCTCTTCAAACTAAAGGATTTTTTGTGGATTTTAGCGACAAAAGCTCGAAATTACCCTTAAGTCCTGGATGGATCTTAGCTCCAATTGACGAATTATATTCAAAGAGGAGTAACTTTGTGATGGATAATGACGTAAGAAATAAAGTTGTAAAGAGTTGTTTGACCTTTACACTGTTGATGCAATTAGCTTGTCATCAACTGCGAGCAAGTCATTCTGCTCAAGCAGCTTCACAGCAGAAACCAATAGACACTTTTGTTATGCTAGATCCGGCAACTATAGTGATTTCACTTATGAAAGTCTTTCTTTTAGAAGGAGAACTTTATCGAGACACAGAAATTAACTGCTTGATGGAAAATCTTGTAGAGATACATACCTTACGAAAAACACTTTTGAATTCCAGCGTCAATGAACTTCTTGTTACTACTTTCAGAAAATCAACACCATTACCTCCATTAGAAAATGTAGGTTCCCACGTCCTAGAAATTCCATTCTACCAACTTTTCACAGATTTCTGTGCAAGCTACGCTTCAGAATCTTTCGGTCACAAATTCTTCGCTCGACTGTTGATGATACCGCTTGCGAGAGGCTTGTATTCAATTGATTATCAAATGCTGGTGTGGAATGATATGTTTGAAATTTTGGGAACTATTGGTGTTCAATATGACGAAATTATTTGTTTGCCGCCTTCCTTTTCGTTACGAACATATAATGAGGCTATTGATAATGACGAAATTAAAAGAAACATTTGCGAAAGTTTTCTTACGTACTTCTTCCCTATCGAAGAAAAAAAAGCGATGTTACAACTTTTTATTAAAGCGTTGATGAGCGGACGCGTCAACATCAAAAACACACCATTTCTGTATTGGATCGCAGTGCATCACTTATCGGGATTTGTATTCGGATCAACTGAAGAAGATAGTAACAGCAACGATGAAAAGCAAACTATAAAAAATAAATTGAGGATTGACCTCGCTAAAGCTTTGGTCACTGATACAACAACAAAGCAAAGTCAAATAGTTCATGATTGGATTGGTTACACTGAACGGAATTTTCTTGGATCTCGAAGAAAAGATAACTTTACGATGATGACTGATGATAATAGCTTTTATGATAATGCTGGGTTATCATTTATCATGATGCCGAATTGCTTCAATCTTGCTTCTGTAAATGAGAGGAAAAGACGTGAAAAGTGGATTCAGGAGTGTGTCAAATAATCTCGCTTAGATATTCTCAAAAATTGCTTGTAATTATATTGTTGGTTTGTTTATTGAAAAATATATCCAATAAAGCCAGGACAGTGAATTAAGTGTCACATTTACTATCGCTAATCACATTTAAAAATAAATTTACCCTTTCTATCTGTATTGTAATCAAAATGTGAACACGTAAAGCCGATGTTTCTATTAGCTACATAGTAATACGCTGTTACCCGGTGGATCGTCTTCTGGGAATCTACCGAGTAAACCGTGAGACTGTACGATTACGGGAATACTTCGAGTACTTTTTCCGCGATTCCGCTAACTTGTCCGTTATCTCATACCTTAAGAAGATATCCGGAGGTCTTTTCCTTTCCAGAAAATCGTGTCGCTAATCATGCCATTCCGAGATAAGCATCGGATTTTCCTTTTGTCAGTCGAGACTATCCAGTGTTTCTTCTATGAACTTAACTCAAAATTGCAGACAATTTATGAATTGTACTAATCTTCTACTTGAACTTTTTGCGCGATTTTTGTTTAAAGTTACTTGTCTAAACAGTTTAAGTGTCTTTTGGTATATCATGTAGTATGGCGCCATAATTCGAACCTAGGCATGCCAATTATCAACCGGAATTAACAGAAATGTAAACCGACTAAAAAAATTAATAATTCCGTGTTCGTAAAATACATATATATTTAATCGAAAGATCTTTATTAGTTCGTGTAGTTTGAGAATCCTACTTAAGCAATATTAACATAAAACGTGTCGTTTACAAAACACTATCAGAAGTTAATGTGAGAAGGGTTCATTGGTCATTTCACATCAATGACAATGTCTTCCAAAGACTTTCATTGAAGCCTAAAGTTTAATTAATAGGACCCCATGATGTGTCCCGTATATTAATAAAGTGTCGAACACAATTATATGGCCCGTATGTGTCGCGAGATCGTATGTGGCTAGTTCGAGCGTGCGTCGTGTGTGTGAAAAAGAAAATGATAGATTAATAAATCAATAATTTTAATTGTCCATATGTGAATGAGCATGTTATAACATCAGAGAACCTTGTCTCATCAAACTCCACAATTGGAAGTCATTCAGACGGCAATTCCTATCATTGATGTTGATATTCGTTTTCATCATTTATTATTTTATTGTTGTTAATTGTTTATTATTGAAGTTTCAAAATACGTTGATTCTTACTTTATAAAATGATTGGCAAATAACCTGGGAATCATCGGAGAATAATGGTAGACGCAGTCACTTTACAGTAGTTTATACTACAAGAGATATCGAATATAAGAGGTGAAGGACAGATTCATTAGTATTTTTCAACTGTCAAGTTAAATATACAGATAAAGATGTTGATACAATGATAATGATTTTCAGACATCCAAGGAAGATTGTTGACCATCACAAGGAACTTAATCCTTTCGGTGGAAACTGCGAATTCAACGACCTTAACTCATCATAATTTATTTTCTTTGTTTACTGCTATCCTGTGAAGATAATTACATACCGAATGTTTTTTCTTTATCTATTGGTACGCGAGGCATTATAAATATCAAATTGATATCAACTTCAAAAAAAGTTCCGAGAATCACAAACGATAATTAATTCTCATTGCTTTATCGTTGTTGTTTTTTTTGTTTCATTTACCTATATTCCAATTAAAGTAAAGGAAAAAGAAACATTATTAATACCATTTCTTCGAATAATATTGTATGAAAATAAATAAAAATTTGAATTTATGATAGTGGTGGTCAGTTCTTATACTGGCAAGTATTTACTCCTCAGCGAAAGGAGCAGCACTGGTATCAGCATGGTCGATAAGTTGGGGAAAGAAGAATCTTTCATAGATATCATCATTCCACCGTGTTATTCATTATTCTTGTGTCTTAACCAATATTTTACATAATACATACATGGTTCATTGAAGAATATTATTCTTAGCTTACTTTTATTGTTGGGGCACCGAATCAACTGAACTTGCTAACATTGACAACTTTAGCAAAAAGAAAAAATTTTTCTTATTATGCGAGTTGAGTCATTTAGGGCAGGGCTGACATTTTATATCCCTGTCTAAAATAGGGGCAAATCACGTGAAATATTCATGATTAATGCCAAGAAAATTATATGTTTTTGTTTTTGGATTTGAATTTAATTTTGTGAGCTAAAAGAGGCTGACGTGGATGGAAAATGAACTAATTTAGCTGATGACATTTTGGTGAGGCTTTGCTTGATTTATAGCTGTGGCTCATGCCCAAATCCATGAACTAAATTTTAGCAACATTTTTAGACCTATTGCTATGGCTACGTGAGTGCGACTAGCATTCGTGTATAAAACAAGATGAATGCACATTTACCAAAGCCAAGGACACTTGTTACAACGTATTTTCAAACTGTACAAAAAGATTGTAATCGCGAGCAAAACATTTGCACTATTCAAAAAAGCTTTATTTGATAAAATGGTTCGTTCTAGTCATTTTCTACGTGTGCAGGCAAGAATACTAACCGCGCTTCTATTTGCAGAAATTCCTGCACAAAGTTGCAAAAGCTTTTCTGCTTTTGCTACCTGTCAGTTGGTTGTTTACCAACCAGATCAGTTCACATGTGGTTTTGACCATTGCATGTTTCCTTTCGTATATTAACAACCACTAACAAACTGCTGTGCATAATGTGGTGGTTGACAAACTCGATGGTATTAAAAGGCTTTGCGAAATACGAGATAATCTTAAGTGGTTCAAACCAAATGTCTCCGAAACCAACCAAATTATACGCGGGAGGCGTTCTAAAACTCTGGAACGAGTTTAAACGGATCCTTGATGCAAAGAGGAAATTGGACAACGTTAGTTGGTCCAAAATGTATCTCAAGGTTAAAAGCGAGATCGAAGACCTGAGGAAGGGCAGCATTGGAGAACTTTTACAAACGGAAAACGAATCCCAAACCCAAAACCTTAAAAGTGATAGCGTCATGGATAGAAAACGAGAGAAGAGAGTATGACGAGAAGGACTGCAAAAATTAATAACTTTAGCGAGCCCAAAGAATAGGGACAGTTATCGCCGTTCAAGGCAGGTCTAGGGGCCGACTGCTTCTCTCCCTTGCAAGCTCGCCCGACGTGTTTATTGGCAATAAAAATCAAGCTGATGTAATCTCCACGTGACTCATTTGTTTAAATTTTCCCATCCGACGTGTTTCGCTTAATAACTTGTGTTCTAACTGTAACGTGCTTGCGATCGTATTCTACTCCTTGCAGTCGGTTTACTTCTTACGCGTCACAACAAACAGCGAGATACAGCATGGAGCTTCAGAAAGTTTTGAACAAAATAATCGAGGCAAATCCAAGCGTAAGTTGTCCCGTACAAACTGGTTTTTCTGAGCTTGCAAACTGTTAAGCGCAATGGTAGCACAGTCGGTGCCTCTCAATACTGAAGAGAGGTTTACACTGCCATAACCCATTGCGTAAGGCTACGGTCGCACAGTTTGCAAGGGTTGGTTAAGCGCAATGGTAGCACAGTCGGTGCCTCTCAATACTGAAGAGAGGTTTACACTGCCATAACCCATTGCGTAAGGCTACGGTCGCATCAACCTTCCTCGGAGTGTAGACTTCCGCCACTATCACATGTCATGTTCTGTTTGTATGAAAAGCTCTGCTAGCAATCTTTCTGTTCTTTTATTACATGGGTTTTAGCTTTCTGAAACACAAAGATCCTGTATCACATGGCTATTACAGTCCTTCAATCCGGTGCCCTTGGAATTTTATCGATTTTTAAATCGGAAAACGAAACATATTGCAGTCAATGGGTATCTTTCAGCACTTTCACATGTCTTGGAGATGTCGGACGAAATGCCTGAAGAAAAGAGGGTCTTGTTTGGAGAGATCCAACAAAAATGGAAAGTGAGAATACCTGTATGAGTGCGCGTGCTGTCTTTTCTTTTAATGAATTGTTTCCTTATATATTCATTACAGGACGGCATGTTCAACAGCGACTGGACAGTATATGCGGCAGAACGGTCAGCACTATCATCAATCAAAACAAGCATCTCCGTCCAGAAAGACTTCAATAGTGAAGTTTCGTCTCACTGCACTAAGGTAAGAATTTTTTTGAAAATTTTCAATGTCATCCTGCATCTAATCCATGATTGACCACTGTGTTATTAGAAACGGAAATATGACCCATCGACGCCAAATAAACCAGTGATCAGGGTCGACATGGAAGGATTGTCAGTTAGTTTACCCATTTTTTGATTCGTTTCGCCACATATCCTGCACTGCAATAACTTTCTACACTGCATATGACCAATAGATACCCTCAGATATCATTCGAAAAGAAAATTAGGTTCGCTGCAAGTGAATCCAACAACGATGAAGCAACCGCCAGTAGCGAAACAGGTTCTCTGTTAAATCCATTCGAAGTCCCTCAAGGAACGGAAACGGACAGCGGACAGAACCAGATTGCTACTTGGCGCAAATGGTTAGAGTACATCCTTGAGGTCAGTACATGGACGCAGTTTACAGGAAGTACCGTCAAATTATTGTGATCTTACCTCCTATTATGTTTGCAGGTTCCCATAGAGGATGTAAGGATAAAAATTCTGACACTCCCATATAGCAATAAGAATAAGTTTGAAGCGACTATGATTCAATACATTGGCAAAGTGCTAATGGATTTGTGAGTTCCTTTTCAAATTTCAGATATGTGTAACAATTTTTTTTTAATGCCATATAACAATAATGATAATCAAATAGCGTTAACAAAGTCATTGATGTCCCTGGCAATGTCCTATTCATTGATGATATTGAGCGAGACTGGATCATCAGTAAGCTGTCACCGCTCTTTGTTTATCTAGAAGCCACATTCATAAATCGAGTCCGATTCCATTGGCAAGTGTTGTTCTTTGATAAGGTTTCAATTAATATTTTAATGTTTCAAATTGTGAGCTAATTATGCGTTTATTCGTTGTAAACTAGGGTTGAGCACGATATAGAGCCCACTCACGAGCGTCTCGTCCGTGATGGTAACACCACCAACAAAGACCGGCTGAAAGCTGACATGGTTGGCGTTCGGCTTTGTGACAACCGGCAAATAGTGTTTTTAGAAATGAGTGGAGCACCCACGGACTTTTTACAACCGCATACCATTACGGACGTCCATAAGACGATTCAAGAACGAATTGATGCGGTCAATTCGTTGCTATTGAATTTCTTAGATTATGATGTGCGATATGCGGGGAAGATTCGTTCGCTAACTGTTCAGGGAATCAGTGAGTATAATCTTTAGTTGATAATTATTCAGATAATAGCAAGATTCAAAAAACGTTTTTTAACCTTTGTACCCTAGGAGATCGGCTTACATTACGATCAATTTTTTTAAGAGGGAAGGAGGATTACTTTGATGAGGAGATTTTATCAGCGATATTTCCACTTAGTTGGGAGCTCCGCTTCCAATTTTTGGAAATATTTGAACTAACTGAATGTATAATGCTATCAATTATAGAATACCCAAATGTGATAAAAGAGCTGAGAAAACATCGTGCAGACTCTCTGGAATTTTCTATTAGACATTGTCTTTCAAATTAGCTTTATTCAATAAAGAGTTTGTAAATAATAACATTCTGTTATTAAATTGGTGATGTATTGCTCCAGTCTGGCACATGTTTTCCAGCAACTGTTGCTGCTCTGGTATCTTCACCTGAATCTGCGATCTTTCACTACCTACTGTTTGCATTCATCTTTGCTCTACCATAGCAATTGAATCAGAATTTACTGCTCAAGAATGTTTCATATCAAGAAACTTTCACCAAGACACTAGTAAGCTTTCCTTTAAATAATTGTGAATATTTATTTTTTAGTTGATTATAAAAAACACAGGCAAGTTATTTGGATATTAATTATATTCTTTCTTTGAATATTTCTTTTTCATCTTCTCTAACTAAACATATTTAAAAGATTAGATTTTTTGCATCTGGGTAATCAAGAATCTTGTGTGAAACAGAAACTGAAAGCTCTTGACATGATAATAATTTGATTTCATATATGAATATTTGAATTACTATTATTATCTTTATGATTTCATATTCTATTTCATAATATGTAACTATTACAAAGCAACAAGATTATTCTATTATAGCAGATGAGAATATTCTTAGAACCTGTAATGAATTTTGTAATTGTTGCATTCTTGTTTATTAAAATACTTCATGTCATGCAGAAAGATCAGAAATAAGTGATAATTGGAAAATACAAGATGAATAATGCATTTTTTATCAGTAACAAGATTAACATAATTATTAAATTGATAATAACATGTTAATAGTTTTGTAAAAGATTTACAGAATATTATATAGATTCAGTTTTATATTTTGATATTGCAGATCTAATTCAGATAAGACAAAGAAGTTTCTATTATGACTTTGTTATAAATCTTGCTAAATTTACTATATTATCAAATAGAGAATAATATTTTAAATACTTAATATTCTAATTTAACAATCAGAAAGAAATAATACAAGAAAAATAATGATATCTTAAAATAAAGCAAAAGAAAAATATTAAAAGGATACCAAAAAAAATATTGCAATAATTAATTATTAAATTTATTATTTAATAATAAAAAAAAATATAAATATGAAACTAATTTATATCAAATTCATTATGAAATCAAAGAATTATAGTACTATTAGAAGTATTTTAAAAAAAGATAAGATGAAAAAATTATATCTTATATTTTCAAATTAACAGAGATCAAATCTTTACAAGTATATTTAAATAAAGAAAAAATTACTTATGAAATTTATCAAGTAAAAAGAGTTTTCAAAAGAATGCAAGAAAATTTTAATCAAGAATCAATTAAGAAAAGTAAATTATCAAAATAACTTAATAAAATAAATAATTTATTCTTTATTAGATTCTGTTAATTTTTAATTATTTCTTTACTTTTAATCAAGATTATCTTTTAGATTCTTTAATTTTAATTTGAGTAATTTAATTATTCTATTATTATTTTAGTTATTTATTTTCTTGAATTAATCTAGTAATTTCAGTTTCTAATTCTTTAATTTTTTTATTTTCTCATTATCCTATTCTTTTAATTTTTTGTGAAATTTAGCTACTTCTTCTCTTTTAATTTTTAATTCTTCTTTGATAGTTAATAACTTTTTTTTTAATTTTCTAGTTTTACTTTTCAAATAAAAATTGAAAACTTGTAAAAGTAATTCTTTATCAGAAAGAGATTTAGTTAATTTAGCTTTTAAATAATTACAAAAGTATCTATTTCTATTTCTTTTTAATTTATCATATTTTTCATATTATAAAAAAGTATTATTATCATAATCTTTTTTATATTCTTTACAAATAAAAATAATATCAGAATAATTATCAGAAATATTACAACTTATTATTTGATAATTAACAGAAGTAGTATCAAAACTGAAATTAATTGGATCATCAAAATCTAGAAAGTAAAAATTACATTCTTATTCTTCTCCTTTTATTATCTTTAAAATTCTATATTATTATCTTTTTGATATGAGTATTAAATTTAATATTACAAAAATACATGATAAAAATGATCATGTACTTAAAGTGATGATTGAGAGAATCTTTAAAAGTTTATTAACAAGAATATAAATACTATCATTTATTTAAAGGTAGATAATGATAGTATTCTTGTTATAATTAGCTAGAATATAATCCAATTCCAAAATATAATTTCAAGACAGATGTAATATTCAGTTTATTAATAAGATAAAATAATAAATCTTAATCAAAATCTATTCTACAAGAGAGATTCCTTAGAATTCTCTT